TTCCAACAGTGATCAAAGTAAAATAGGAAGATTGTTAAAAGAGACCTTGATGCTAATTTGTTACAGATTTTTAGAAGGTGTAAATATTGATGCACTGTGTACCAGATTCACTGAGAATTATTAACTATGTGATTTCAGTATTTACTCCTTGGGTTCCCACAGTGCACTTGGGAAGCAGACTCCATCCCTAGCAGAACACACTCAGTGCATTAATGTTTTGAGAATATCCTTGTGACCACACAGGAAGCTATAAATGCATGATGCATGTACTTCAGGAGACCATGGTGCCAATTAATGTATTTTGCATGCATTCAGTAATTACAGCTTTCACCTTAAGTCCACTAATGTCAGACACACACACAAAACTAAACTTTGTCTGCAAAATGAGGTTCAGAGATACACACTATGGTGGTTGCTTGAATAGGTATTCCTGATGAAGCAATGCATAAATCTATTGTTTGGGATTCTTTACAGAGAGAACATAGCATAAAGTTTACTTTGGTGGCATCCAGATCTAGAGACATGTGAAGACCTGATCATTCCTTGGCTTCTGTACAGCTTGTTAGCTAGTTCTTCTGATTCACAAGACCATCTTCTTTTTTTTCTGTGACAGCACCTCATGATTAACTTTGATTATCAGTAAGGAGCGAGCAGTCAGAACAGCAGCAGTGAAAAACAGAACATCATCACTAGAAACATTTTCAGTTAAGTGAATTCTGACAGTTGTTCTTCCTCCAAAGCCTTTCATTAAAAAAACAAAGGTATTTGTGTCCTAACTGAATAATAATATGCCAAACTCACTCTGAACTCCAACTTCTATTAAAGTTCTTCTTACAACCCAACTCACTGGGTCCTGAAACAGACCATAATGTGCTTCGGTATGGCTGTTAATGAACCATCTCAAATGAATACTGGATACTGAAGGAATTACATGCTGTGTAATTGAGCTAAAGAACAGTTTAGAACTGGTGTTATTTCATTAAATCTTATTAGTTCTGGCTTAAGTACTTAAAATTGCAGCTGTCCTGTGTCAGACAGATTACACCCCTTGTCACAAGGCAAGTGAGATTTTCATTTACTGGACCACAGTTTTTAAACTGGAGCAGGCTGATAAAAAGAAATACAGAGACTCTGAAGGCCTGACCTTCAGACACACCAATCCCCCACTCGTTCATTGAAATGAGACAGAGAGCTAAACACTTTCATAATACATCTCAAGACGTGGTGTTTGTTTCCATATTTTTGTCTTAGATCCCTTCTATGGAACCAGAATTTAGCTTTTTGGATGTGGAACAGTCCTGAAGAGTTGTCATGCCTCATGGATAAGCACAGTATAGATCTTGATGTAATTGCAGGGAAATCCATTGGGTCCTTCCAACCAGTGGAGGTTAGCATGCCTCAGGAACCAGTGAGCCAATACAGCTAGAGAACAATGTTGGCTGAGAAACAAATGGCTTTAATCAGGCCAAGAATAATTTCAGCTTGGAAAATAGTTTATAGCTTTCAAAGGAGAAAGGGCTTCATTTCTTTTTTTTTTTACCCTTTCAGGACTCAAACTAATTTCTAGAGATCTTGACATGTTTACAGAAGTATTTTTTCTTCTGTTTTACCTTTGACAGCAGTGCTTGATATTTTTCTCACCTTCTGTTCTGTCCTAGAACCTAGTATTTAACTCCATCCATTTAACTCAATCCAACAAAACAGTAATTGAAGGTTTTGATCTAAAATTTTCTCTACAAGGCATATTACTCTATACTAAAAACTCTTCATAATATCTGGACTTCTGTGCTGTGGGAAACAAGACTGAAAATTTGAAAAAATATTAATCAGGATTTCAGATTATACTAAGGGGTGAGATACTGACAAAAGACCCACAGACTTTGGTTAAAATGGATAATACCCAAGGCTTTTTTTTATTACTATGCCTTTTATGAGAGAATATTTAAGACCCTCTCACATGCAGAGTCACTATGTTCATACCACAGCCAAAGCCATGGTTCATACAGATAAAGACTACAGTAAAAATAATCCAACAGATGTGTTTTTCAAATATAAGAAATTGTTTCAGTAGATCTTTAAAAAATGACAGTCACAGAAAATACCAGCTCTACCTTTAAGAGTTATTTGAATTATTTTATATTTTTTCTGTAAATCTCAGACCCATTTATCTACCACAAAAAATCTGCTTTCCTTCTTGTACTGAGAGTCTGGTTCTTGCAAGCTTTCTGCAGCACGTGGCCTCTGCACTCAAAGCTTGCCAGAAGTGACCACTCTCAGTTAGATGGTGTGGCCCCACTCAAATGCTTTGCACTGGGCACTGAAAACGTGCAGCAGCAAAACTCCAAGACAACCAACTCACCCTCATTATGGTGGTGTGACAGTGAAGGGTTGTCCTGCTTGCCTGAAATCTTTGCCAGTAAATGAAGGTCTAGCTGGTCTTCTCAGCTTCAAAGCTCCAAAATCATAAATGCAACACTATTTTTAGGACAGTAAATTTAAAATCTGGTGTTCCTCCAAATATTCACACTTCCTTTTTCATTTACCCAGGTTTTGAAAGGTTTGCTGCCCCATTGCTAACCAAGGGTCAAGCGTAGATTGACAACTCAAGACAAAGGAAAAAAAAACAACTAAAAAAAAAAAAAGAGGAAAAAAAGCATGTGACATACTTGCTTCTGTGCAGTACAGTAGTAACTCTAGTAACTCTTTATACTCTACTAGCTAGGCATTTGATAGTTACACTGATATATAATTAACTGCAGCCATCTTCACGTAAAACAGTTAGCACTTACCCATTGGAAAGACTACAAATTGTGTGAATGACCTGGGATGTTACTTCCCAAAAAGTCACCTGGCAAAACCATCTTTCTCTTCTTTTGCCTTCTCGTTCAAGTATTTCAAGGACTAAAACTCCATCAGAGTCAACAAAATAAAAATACATCTTTCAAACAATTTAAAAAGGAGAATTTGTATCTGGAGAGAAGATGAAAAGTTACCTACAAATAAAACTCCTGTACAAAGTGTTCAACACCTGCTCCGCAGATGGTAACAATCCTTTTAAATTGTCTAATAGGTTAATATAAAGAGGTTGAACACAGGGCAACTGCTCCCAATCTATATTTGTCCTGAAGCTCCCTACCTGTTTAAGACCTGCAGGAAGATTTGAATAGCGAGCTTGTCCGTGATTTTTTACTGTATTGCTTGATTTATTAAAGGTGCTACCTCTCCCTACAAGTCTGACTGCACTGTGCAATGGAATGTTAGACATTTTTATATTTAGAATCTCATCCAGAGTTATTCTTTTGTATATATTCATGCATAACCTGATCCACAAGAGATAAGTAAAGATCAGCAATTAGCCACAAAGTCCAGGAGAATTAGCTTTGTATTACATCTTGTATACTGTGTCAAAAATAAAATTGGAGCAAAAGGTAGTGAGATGCTCTTTAGATACCAACCAGGAGTTGACAAGAACTGATGGATTTTGCATGTGCAAATAAATATTTTATTACATATCATGCCCTTGAAAAACTAATTTTGTTTCCATTCTCTTTTGTTCAGCATGCCTTGAAAGAGGAATGGCAAAAGGTCTTGAAGAAACAGATCACCAAAATTCATGGTATTGCAGTGTTTGCAATTACCTGGTTGTCTGGCTCAGTAAACCAAAACTAAACTTTAAAAAAAAAATTACTATAAAATATTAAACAGTGAAGTCAACAGACATCATCTCTCTCTCTCCCTCAGTATGACTGCATCTTCTGTAAGGAAAAGCTGTCCACCATGAACACACATCCAACGGCTGCTGATGTTGACAGTGGTCATCAGCTTTAACAGTCTCTTGGCTAAAGCCTTGTCATTGCTCTGGCTACCTGTGTACAGACCATGAACCACTGGGTACATTATTCAATTCAGGTTCACAAAGATGATGTGAATGGGTCAACTACAGTAAAATATCTATATTTCAGAGTAACAAGATTTATATATGCTGCCTAGCTCTTGCTCTAATTTGCTCCCTTATCACTAGGGTTTTTTTTGTTTTTCAAATGATGAAAAGACTTTGTTGGTTTCTTCAAGAAATTTGTCTAGACAGTGCTCACAAAGTGTATTTGCTCACATTTGACATTTTCACAGGATAGGTAACAAATGGAAGATTCAGGTTGTTCAATTCCACACATGGCACCTAAGTCAGTCAGCTTACTTTCAGAAATAATGGCTAATCCACCTTCCAAGCAGTTTCTGGAACAACACAACAGTGCACCTGCATGCACAGAACTGCAGGATGGGAACGTTGCACTTAAGTACTCGAGGCTTGTGGGCCAGCTGAGGCCTCTCAAAATTCATCCATCTACTAGGACATTTACTGCCTTGAAAGAGTTAAATATGCAAGTGCTATACTCTGATGCCTTTATAGCCCAGAAATGTGAAATGTGGCAATATAATGGAGCGTGTGTCTATTTTACCTATTCAACATTTACCTGTGTCTAACTAGAAGAGATCTCTAAAATGCTGCTTTTTTAACAGCTTGAAGGTTGAGAACCACCTGTAAACATTTGCAGAACAGTCTCTTTCTAGAAATAGAGACTCCTAAACAATCAACCTTGAAATTTATCTTCTATTTGTAGTGTTATTTACAGATCTTCTTGTTTAGTACAATGAACCAGGCATGCTGAAAAGGTTGGATTTTTCCAGTCCCCTTTTATACGAAGTACAATAAAAAAGGCACATGATTATTCACCATAGGAGTTGTGCACCAGTCAATAACTTAAAGCTAAAAAGCTACCCATCAGAGAACTCTCTTTATGAGGCAGTATTGGGGTCTCTCCTTTGAACTTGTCATACAAACATCAGTTCCTCTAGGAGAGCTTAAGGAACCCACTTTTCTGTTGTGTTCCCATCTTCACAAGATTTCCAAATCAAGAGAAAACTCTTGTTAAGCTTCCCAGGTCATCTACTGGATCAAGAAAGAGTTAAGTAGGGCATGTAGATGTCTGCTTTTCATCTTCTTTTTTCCTTTGAATGCCCAACTATGGAGGACTCTAGAGAGCTGAGTCCTGTTCACATTAATTTGCTTTTAAGACAAATGCCTTGCAAGTTATGGCACGCAGAGCAACGGAGAGGGGCAGGAGAGGCAGCTTCTCAGCCCCAGCAGTCAATGCCGGCCGTGTTTTATCCAGTTTCTAATCATCCATTTTTGCCCCGAGCACCTCTGTACGACTAATCTGAGCCCAAAATTTGCATCCTTTGACATTTCCACTTCTAGACAACGGCCAGTGTCTCTGCTGATGATTGGACCATTCTGAGAAAAAAGAAAAGGAGGATTAGAAGAAGGAATAGAAATGTGAAAAGACAAGAATAGTGCTAGATCTGTAAAACCCTAGAAAGCACTAAAGTGCTGGGAAGTTCTGCATAGATACAAGTGATGAAAGTCCCTAGAAAGTGCTAGAAATTCCTGGGAGAAGCTAGATAATCCACACCACGTGCCAAGACAGTTCCCTTGTAATTCTAGATTTAGGAATTGTTAGAAAATACCCCAGAAATCACTGGAAAATCTCCATAAAGCACTAGAGAATCCCTACAGACCCCAAGACACAGGAAATCCCAGAAACTGTAAGAACGCCTTTGAAAGCCCTAAAAATTATTTGAAAGCTCTAGATCTACACATTCCTAGAAAAATTTTGGAAAAATTACAGAAACAAAAAGACTCACTCAAAAAAAAAAAAATTACAACTATCTTCTTAATCGCTACAGAAATTGAGAATATGCCAAGAAAGGATAACTAAAACAATCCTATAAAGCACACCCCAAAATTCCTAGCAATAATATAAGAAATATTCCTGGATAGCACATGAGCTATGGAAAATATATCTATTTCTAGAAGGCATAAGGGGGGATTCTTAGAACAGTCCTCTAAAGACCTCCTTGTTTTGCATTAAATACCCTCTAGAGCAGCACTCCTCTCCAGTTTATCTCTGCAAGGCTTGCTGAGCTCTTCCATACCTGTGTGAAGTCCCAGAACCTCTGAGCTGGCCTCAGGACATCCTCACACTTCTTCAGGGTGGGTGTCCTGCCCTTGCCATCGTCAACGAGGCATTTGGAGTCAGGCAGGAAGGCCGTGGAGCCCAGCGGGCCCAGCTGCAGGACACCTTCCGAGCTGTAGCGGACGAGCTGGGCAGGGAGGAAAGGGGAGATTTCAGCTGCAGCCCCAGGGCTCCCAGCCATGGGACACAAAGCCAGCCTGTGGCTGCCCTCCCTGCCAGCTCCTGCCCCACACGCTCTCCAGGAGTCCTTTGACCTGCTGCGTGTTGGGGCTCCCCTGGTCTGGCACAGAGCTGCTCAAGGGCAGAGCTTGGGAAACTTGTTTTACCAACACAGCGTCTCTCCTTGGACACAGAATTCCCTTCTCCCACTCCTCTGCTCCCCACCATCCCCTCCCCACTATTCCACTGCAAAAGGGCAATCAAGAACGTGAAGTAATCAATATGTAAATCATACCCACTCAGCAGGAGTTGATTTAACAAGGACACAATGTCAATTTGCCATGCAGCTTGTTCTTAAGAGCTCTGTTAGAGGCTATTGATAGCAACAAGTCTAATTAGTTTTTGTAAACAAATGTTACTGAAAAAATCCAACCGTGCAACCAATATCCAAAAATAAGAGAGGGGAAAAAAAAAATCATGAGGGAAATAACAAGCAAATTCGCCAACATATGCTCCAGGCCTGCTTAATAAAGAATCACACTCTGATATTTCTATTTTGTGTGAGGCTTAACTGTGCTGCAGTTTAGTGATGTGGGAAATGCTACTGGCTGTAATTAGAGGCTACAGGTGAGGGCCATTTATTATTTTAGAATTAGAGTTTTTTTAATAAAAAAACTTAAGCAGACACAACCATTCATGTTAATTTTTACAGGTCTGTAATATTTTTTTTTTATCCTTGTTTCTATTTTAAGTGATGATTTCACTTGCATTAAGTCATTCACAGCAAAATGACCCCTAAGAAAAAAAAAACCCTTATGTAGAAGGTGAGGTAAAAGAAGTGGTTTCTTGTAATTGCAGCTTGCCAGAATATATTTCATCACAGTAATATTGGAGCAGCCAAGTGAAAATATTTAAGGACATAGAGTGTCTGTAGCTGGCTCTTGTCAATCAGGACTAATGGCCACAGCCAGGTCTGTGGTGGATGAGAACTGCTTTGCTCTGTTCACAGCAGCCTTTTTTTGGGATGCAGAGCGTGGCTGCCCGTTTGCCTTCTCATGCTGCTACGTTTTGGGTCAGAGGGGAAGGTGACACTGCTCCTTCTCCGAGCACCACGGGCTCTCTGGGATGGCACAACCTCCACAGCACGGGTGGGAAGGGACACAGCCAACATGGAGCTTGCAGGCTCCCAGGAGAGCAGGCAGCAGACACTTAAATCCACATCTCATGGCACTGAACAAAAAAAAGCTCTTCTTAGGAACACACTGGGGACTTTGAAAAGTTTCTCTCAACCCAAGAAGCCACTGAAGAACTGCTGGATGACAGCAGACCTGGAGAACACAGTCTTGATGAGGGCAGGCTGATTTCAAACCCTTTCAAGCCTCTTCCAGATCCAACTTTTCTCTACTACAATTTGTTTCAATCTGTATTCTAACAAAGCCTCAAAGCCTTAAGGGTGGTTTTAAGTTGCTCATATAGAAGGACAAGGTGCTCTGCCAGCTCACTATCACACTGCACTGAGATAACTATGCTAGCAACAGAGTCCTCCTTTATAAGCTGCAAAAATTAATAAGTAATCCCCTTAACTGTTGGTACTTTCTAGACAGATTTCAAACCATATTAAAGTGAAAATGAACAATGTTAATTTGTCAGCAAGCCAATACATCAAATCAGACATATCTACTTCTCACTTTTTCTGTGTTTAAATCCAGAATCATTACACCAGCATAATATTTTGCCTTCCTTAGCCCAGAAGTAGTCAAGTGCAGCACCCAGGTGCCAAGAGACTGCAAAATGGAGTCATCTACGTGACTGGTGTGTTGTGAGGCTGCAGGGTGAAGATCTGAGCCACCAAAAAAATGCAGTTATCACTCAGGAAATTCACTGCCTGTCTGGTCTTATTGCTGCTATATGGCTGAAATTACTTAACAAGAAAGGGAAGGGAGGTCTGAAGTGCCTGCCATTTATTGGGTTACACTGACCAGTGCATGAGCTATCATTAAGAGTCAATCAACCCCCTTCAAATTAGAGTCTAGCTTTCTACAGCCATCCTTATTAACCTCAGAAGAATCATGCTGGGAGTAATCATATCTCACTGGTGGTAAAAGAGCATGGTCTACTTGCTCCCAGTACCAGACCAGGTATGCTTGGATAAAGTATGTGTTCATTTTCCCACCCATGTGAAGCACAGAGTTAGGACAGAGCCTGCATCAGAGAAAGCAGAGGGACAACCACGAGGACACTCCTTGGTATGAACAGTGTCATTGTCAAGGCACTGTCTACACACATTAAATCATGACACTTTCTTTTCATAGTTACTTCTGATTTTAAAAAGGCTTAACACCTTCTGTGTTTTCAGAATATCAACAGCCAGAACTGCATGTGCTCTGCATCACAGCAGCCACATATTTTGGGAAAGACTTTGTCATGCAGAAGCCTGCCAGAGCAAGAACTACCTTTTCTACCATTTTTAGAAGTGGAAGATGCACTAACTAAACTAAACTACCTCCAATATTGAACGTGGCAGTTGTGTGACAGCTCAACAGTCAGAGATGTCTCAGTGCAGGAGTCTGCAACCTATGCAATGAGACAAATGGAATATGATGGGCTTAAATTTCCTAAATTTATACTTTCTGCCAAGAGTTCCAACAGGATTTAACTTCAGAACATCCCTTCCTGGTAATTTCCATTTCAAGTGGAACAAAGCACAAAATAACAGCAGGTAGTGGTCTGCAGGAAACAGTTACACAGGTGGGTCTGGTAACTTTCCACACTAAACATAACCCCTCTCACTCTTGCTCTGCAAACAAAAGGAAATATTTAATGATCCTTCAGCCCTGCAGGTTAAAGTAAGATGTTAACTGACACAGCAATTGAGCTAGACAGGTATTCGAAACAACTTAAAACTCCACAATACTTCTTGTCACAAGAGAAGCAGTTACCAAACTTGCAGGTTTGTTACAGAATCTCACCCACTGCTCTCTGCAAGTTGAGAAACTACCTTTTCATCCACCTGCTCTAAGCAATCTGACCTGCTACCCAGTGTGCAACTCGCAAACCACAGCTCTGCCAAGAAAAATGTTAAATACTGCCCTCAAGCAGCAGTTCAAGTAAAGCCTTTCATCTTCTCTTATTCCATCTGTTTGCATCACTGTGAGCTCCAGGAATCTGCACGTGGAGATCTCCTGTCCCCCTGCTTGATCTCAGTGCCACGGGGGCTCCGCTCTCCCAGCCGCCTCCGTCTCATGGTGTGAAAAGGGAAGAGAGGAGGCTGGAGCAGGAGGATGTTCACTGGGGCCCCTCCAGCCCTGAATCCCATTTGATTAACTTCTCTTCTTTCACGTACCATATAATCAGCTCCACATCACAGCGTTCAAGATGGACTCTGAGACAGTGAATATTTCTGCTGAGGCTGTGTAAGTGTTCTCAAATAGTTCAAAGGCTGCATGTCCTACAACCATCCTGAGAAGCTTCCACAACATTCTGAATGTGGGGGGTTGTGTTATTTTTTTTTTTCCTGAAAGGGATCAGATTCAAACTGCACAACTAATGAACACCTATAAAAATGACATTATTTTTTCTGTAAAGCAAGTTTTAAAATCAGCTTAGACTGACGCAAAATCTTGTCTGGATATTTCTAACAGCTTACTCTGGCTTAGCTCAAGTCAAATTCACTAAGCTAAACTGCTGTAAATTCAGGCTAAATGCCTTCCAGAGCATCCATAAAAGATCTCATCCCTGTTTGAATAAAGATATTTAAAAGCTGGTGTCATTCAAAAGATGTGATTTCTCATGATAAAAACCAGCCTTGAGAATACACCTAGGGAAAAGCATTCTGCTCATGGGGCAGTATGGGTGGAGTGATATTATTTTGCACTGGTAATGCAGGATGGCCCCATTCAGAGGTGTGAAATATGCAAGGGAAATAGAAGGGTAAGAATTAGAAGAAAAGAACATTTTATCATAGTTATCTTATACTTCCCTCAGCTTTCTTTAAACACTTGGCAAAGTTCTGTGGTTTCAGTGGAATCACATGTATACTAAAACACTGCTAATTTGCTGGTCAGAATTGAAGAATATGAAAACCAAACAAGACCATAGATGAATAGTGAGAGGTTTTCACAGCAGTAGGACACATCAAGCACCAGTGATAACCTACCTGGTGAAAATGAGTTCCATGTTTATATTCATTTATATTCAATAGGTGTGTACAACTAACCCAAATCTCAACTCAGTAAGGGTATTTCATGCCCTATGCTTGAGATGAAAAATGTCAGAAACTGAAAGCTAAACAACACTGACAGCTATGCTCGTACAGGCTGATTAAAAGAGGGGCTTTAAAAATGTTTATTTAATATATTAAAACACTTGCTGTCAACATCTTTCATGCTATGCGCTTGAATATCCTTGATTGGGGTTTGTGCAGCTGTGGTTCTCAGACTGAATTAATTTTGTAAATCGTGGTGAGATGATAGAAGTTTTCCAGCTGTGTAATCATTAATTAACTTGGCTGCATTTGAGTGGCTCCAACCCATGCTTGTCTGTGAAATACTCAACTTAGATCAAACATCATTGCTGCCTTCTGCTTGGTGTTTCTTACAGAATGAAAACTTTTTTCCTTTTTCCTTTTTTTCTTTTTTTAAAGAAAAAAGGGAAATGGAAAGTTCTGCAAGATGATTTGGTAGGTGAACTTTTTGCCTTTCCCACATTTTTGTAATTCTCACACACAGGGGATGCTTTAAGGGTTTGGGAAGAGTAACTTTCTCTTTTTATGTGCTTATACAGTGCTAGTAACAAAAGAGCTCTGACTTGTGGTTGTTATGAAAATGCTAGAAAGAGCTTTTCAGGCTTTTCCAGAAAATTCACACAGACAGGATACCGAAGACCTGTAGCAAAAATGAGCCAGAAGAGATTTGACTGGTCACTACCCAACTTCAACTTCTTGGGCAGTAAATATTTTGTGTAGTGTTATTTGGATCTGAGAAGAGCTGCCCGGTGTCTCGTCTAGGCCCCACAGTTCAAAAGGCAATATTTTTAGGCTATATATTTACATCTTACTAAAAAGAAAATGACCTGTTCCTTAATGAAAAAAATGGTCAGAGCTGGATGCTCAGAGATGAGCTACTTTATGTCCCCAAATTTACAGGAGTTAGTCAGGAGAAGCCAGGCACATCATACTTCCTTTCAAATAAATTCACAGTAACTCACACCCTCATCTATTTTCTTCTTCTGGAAGTCAAAGCATATTCTATGAAACAGGAGTCATAGAGGCAAACAAGGAGGTTAAGGACTTAAACTGCAAAATAAATTACAGTCAGAACCAGTTATTTCATTACTCTTCTCAATGCTAGCTTGTTGATGGGAAATGAGATGTTGCAAAGGGATTTTCTAGAAGGACTTAAATTTACAACTTTCTGGTCAGAATTAAATAGGAGCAAGAGACTGAACTCTCTCCAAGTGCCTTGACATCTCTAACTAGAGTCTTCTTGAAAAGCTTATTTACATCTAATTAAGCAACACTATTTTGTTACTCTACTCAAAGGCTGTTCAGAGGTTCCACAATGACCCTGCCAGAGGTGGACACTCTATCAGTTTACTGTCCCTCTCACTTTGCTCTAATAAGGTGTGACACCTCAGCAGCTTGCAATTAGGCACAAGAGGCAATATTTATATATTGTGACTCTCATTATGCCCCCACACTACGAGCCAGAACTCCAAATCCATATAAGTATGACTGAACTTCAGCCAATTCTTGGTCTCTGATAAGGTCAGTTTGTTTACACGTGAGGCTGTTCATATATGTAGTTTTGATACAGCTGTTATTTCAAAAGAAACTAGGATTGCATTTCATAAGAAGCTCAAGTCCTGGGTTTAAATAATAACCAATCTGTATTTAAAAAAAAAAAGGTAACATAACTATAAGCATGAAAAGAAGAAATGTAACTTCAGACATCTGTAAGAAAATAATAATATGAACATGGACTGACAAAAAAAAAAATCTATTTTAGAAAAGTATTAACTGAAAAGATATTCTTTATTCCCTTTGAAGTTGATGTTAAATATGTGTTTAACTTTTTGCCTGCTTGGGGAATCGTATCAGCAGCTTGCTAAATCATTTCTGCATAGGAGCCTATTGGAGCAAGGAAGAGTTAATTTAAAGAGGTAGTAATCCTAGAATAAGTCAAGCCATAACAACAAAAGCTGCTCCCTCACACAGATTGTCCAAATTAATTAACCTTGGATGGATGTCTGTGTTATTTACAATAAATTACCATGATTCTTCTGTTTTCCTAACTAGCATCTTCAATGTCTAGATTCACATGCTGAACAGCCTTGGAAAGGACATAGAGAAAGACTGCAGTAAAGCCAGATGCTTTCCCTTGCATCTCAGGGACAAACCGCCCAACTCAACTCAAACACACAGGCTCAAATGCATGACTTTTTGGAAAAGTCTTTAGGTTGAAGGTTTCTCATTAATTATGGTATTTTAACCATTTACCTGAGAGGACATTCCATGGCATGGATAAAGGATTGCTTTGTCATCCTCTTCAGCTCCCTGATCTAGGCAGTAGCCACTAGCTTTGCTGTTACGCACCTGCAACCAGAGCAGAAAGAAAAGAGTTGTGTTAGAAACCCACCTGCAGGGTGCAAGTCCAGCCCAGTTAAACCTTAGCTCTGCTCCAGCTATGGGAGCAGCTAGTACTTAAAGCTGTTCTCTGAGAAGCACATGCTTATTCTCCAGGTGTGACAGTAGATGCCAACAGTGAGTTTACTCCAGGAAAAGACATTATTTGGACGACCTGCTGTCTCTAGAGACCTTGGGTCAGAGTTATATTTTTAGCAGTTACTGAAGGATCAAAACCCCACAGAATTAACTCTAGGAAACCGAGGCCAAATTTTGCTCCAATTTACCCTTGTGTAAATATAAATTTTGACCCTGTATGTTCAGAATGTGACTTCACCAAACAGCACAGGAACTACCCAGGATCGATGTGGGATGTGGCACCCTTTTGTTAACTCCTGTTGCTGACATAAGAACAAAAACAGCATGTGAAAAAATTTAATTTGATTTGAAGCTATAGTATACGGTTATGTACAAAAGTGACATAAAGCACACGGTTGTGAGAGGATAGAGCAATGATGAGAAGCATTGGGAAGGCTTTCAATACATTTAAAATGTGAGTTCAGAAATCCAGTGAAGTAAAAAATTCATGTGCCTCCCCAGAAAAAAAGAATTTTCAAGTCTGTAATACTGGGCTGGAGCTCTAATGAAATCTCAGGCCTTTCTTTCTCTTCAGGCTAGAAGTATTTTGCACATTTTTGGATATAACAAAGAGTTATACAGGTACATTAAGAAGTTATTTAAATGGGCATTTTAAAACAAGTCAGTTTTGATTTAGACTGTGAAGTATTTGGACACTCCCATGATATAGAAATAGCTACTGCATAACGTGTCAGAAAAAAAAATCCATAAATAATCCTTCATATTACAGTGTATGAGCATAACAGGGAATCTGATTGGATAAGGGGGGTCACCAACAGTTAAATTTCAGGAGGTTTATTTTATGACTTGGGTACTATAAAGGCTAAAGAAGATGAAGACAGCTTTATGACATGGCTTTAAAAAATGTGAACTGAGTTGCTAGGAAATATATTTTTACTACTGTTTCAATCTGTTTCACATCTACTCAATATATTTATTTTCCTTTAAAGTCACTAAAATCCAGACATCTTTTCCTCCAGGAAAATAACCAGAAGAGAAAGTATTTAATAACAAGTTTGATGTCATTCAGGATGAAGCCTCTAGTTTTTTCATTACAGGCATGTAGGACTGAAAGGGAGCTGTGCCAGTTTATACTAGCTAATAGCTTGTGTGGCTCCATTTTATTATAAATTTTAATGAATTAGATACTTGCATCACTAAACTTCCTGTTTGACTCAAGAACCTTCTATGCAACCACTCAAGAGAAACAAACTTCTTTTTAGAGGCCAGCTTGCTAACCGTCTGGTATAACTGACACAACATTGGCAGTTCTGCCAATGTTCTTTGCTGTTAACAGCCTTCTCAGAGCTGACAGTTACTAATAGCTCCTGTTGAATTTACTAAATGACTTTCCTCAGTTACTGCCAAGGATGGTTATATTAGGATGCAAAGTGATATTAGGCAATAAAACTTGCACTTTGTATCAATAGCTGAAGTGCCTGACTTATTTTTATATGAAGTCAGTCGAATGGAACAGAAAGGAAAAAATGTCCATTTTTTTGTCTTGTGTGAAAATATATTGCCTTTGGATTTGACTGTAGTTCAAGTAGACAATTAAAACAGAATCTTAAAAAAATTATGCAGCAGGAGAGCTCCTAGAACGTCTCCCCCGTTCACAGTGACAAGTGACAGCAGTCTTTACATTACAGGCACATGCTACAGATTTAAAGATTTACAGAAGGCATGCCTGACTTCTTTAAAGACTGGGGTCAAATGTGGGAATTTTGATTGGTTCACAGAAAAGAAAGAAATGATCCAGACTTCTGAAGTGAACTGAAATGTCTACACATTTCTAACACTTTTGGATCTAGCATTTTATTAGGGTTAAGTAACCTATCTGTTCAGATATCTCCAAGTGGGTGTTCCAAGGTCTTACCAAATATTGTGCACAAGTGAAAATGAGCATACAGAATCTGAGCACAAAGCACAAAATTGTTTTCCCTCTAATGACATTTTCATGATGAGATGAAGACTTATCAAATGATAGCCTCACCTCGTAACCTGAACAAGGATAGGTTGCTTTTTATCCTGAACAAGGAGGACTGCAAAAATGAATTAATAAAGTGAACATAATCCTTTGGATAGTTTGGCAAAACCCAAAAAAAGGGGTGGTTCTTTACCTAAAAAAGGTTCAGCACACTCAACTGTTCTCATTAAGTGCAATTACTAATTTAGCTCTCTTGCCTGCTGATGTTTTCTTGGTGATGTCTGTGGCATTCTATTTGGGAAAATGATTACCTTGAATTTATGTTCTCAGAGCTGCTCTATTTTAAAATTAAAGCCAAGGAGGTTGCATATCATCGTTAGTGAGAATGACTTCATCTGCTGTACTCCAATGAGAAGGACTGTGCTTCTCAAACTCACACTTCTTAGTGTTGATTAAAAGTAGGGAGGACATTTCATTTACTGCTACTACTGGGCTGACTTGAAATTGCTCTGTACATCCTGATACCCACCACTAAGATGAAAGGACTGCTCTAATGCAGCCATGGTGTATTTTCAAAGACATACAGTACCTCTCCATAAGTGACTGTATTATTATACACCCTCATCTCAGGATAGACATTCTCCAAGTACCACTTAAAACTCCGGCACTGCAGTCGCTGTCGTAGAGCTATTCTTTCAGAAACATCTCCAAAGTCAACTCCAGGGTTCTACAAAGCAGAAAAGGAATAAAGAAATTTCACTGCATTGGCTTTACACTTGTTTTCTTTACTGAAAGCATATTGGAGTTCATTTTGTATACCAAGCTGTATTTCTCTCTCTTCTCTTTTGTAAGTAGCAGCTCATCAAACAGCTGCTGTTGAGAGCACACAATAAATATTAATGAAAGTCAGTGGAAAAAGAAGGATAATGAACAAGGAAAAAACAAACATAAATCAAAATAATAAGAATACAATAAGAATGTTGTTACTTACAGCAATTCTAAATGTTTGCAATCAAACCTGAACTCCTTTGCTTTCGGCTTTGTCAGGAATTTAGGCGGTAACTCTGATCTAAGCTGTGGCAGCTTGATCATGGTTTACTCTAGTAACAGCCTTGGGTATTCACTAATGTAAATGGGGTCAGAACAGACCTGTTACAGCTTCAAAGCAGAGCTGCTCAAAAAGTCATTAAGCTCCATTAAACATTTGCATAGACCAACATTCAGTTTTTACTGTAACTGGAGCTCATTTGCAGATTTGAGCCATAAAACACAGTTAAACTCAAAACCTTCTTTATAATTCTACTTCAGAATTTGATTCATATTTGAACAGAAATCCCATGAAGAACACAGGCTGGAAGAGCCAAATCAATATGATGAAACCCAGCCATTTGAAAAAAAGCCAGGTCCTGAGTTGTGTCTGTTGATTTAAACTATTATAAATCCAAACAGTTCTACATGAAGACAGTAAGAGTTACCCTACCTAAAAATCTTTTTCCAGCACTGTATGAATGGACTGAAACCAGGGAGTTTTGCATGGATCTGTCTTAAGCACCCTGTACATTTCCTCCAGAAATATTTCTGAACCTTTTACAAATTACGTCTAATGCAGAGTTACAAGACAGCAGCAAATCTTAGCTCAGAGTTTATTGGAATCCCCAACAGACGCCTTGTTTTCAGGAGAGAATACAAGTGTAATACTGAACAGGTTTTTCTGTTTGCCACATAAAGAATTTGTTGTGCTCACTGCTGCTTGCTGATGCATACTTTGTCATGAGCTCTCTATGCAGCATCCATTCAAATGAATGTTAATTTACGTACTACTTCGGGCTACATGGAAGGAAAGCAATTCTCAGAGGCACTCAGTACAATAAATCATTCAATATAAGATTCCTTTATCAATAAAATTGTCAAGGAATAGATCATAAGCATGGGCATACAAAGTATTGGGTTTAACTAAAATAAAGTGATGCTGACCTGCTCCTGAAGGTTATAGGAATATGATTTTGCAGATGTGCTACTCAAGATACACATCGTGCATAAATCCTCAGTAACATGGCAGGGAGCTGTGAGGAAGATGGTGAGAGTTATGAAAGGGTTAATTTGAGTGGGTTTTGGTATGGGAGAAAACACGTATTTCATTTGCCTCCTTCCTGCCCTATTCTAAAGTGTGATGGTACAAGAATGAGGTGTCCACAGAATTTAGAACATGGACATATCCTTTTCAGCCAGGCAGTAAGGTCTCTAGTTCTCCTGCAGAAGGTTTTTCTTATGGCTTGTAAGAGCACAGTACTTCCTAGTCATCCAGACTGAGTACTACAGTGGAATAACTCTGTAAATGCCAACACCAGCTTCCTTTCCTGGGAGCTAATAGGGTTATTTTTATGATGCACATTTTATAAATCAATTTATTTTATGGAAAGGAATTTTTATTGTTTAGTACTTCTGCCAATTTTATGTCTTTTAATGCAGATGTGTCTGGAGTTTTTTAAAGCATTGCTGTATAGCTCAGTGCAGAAAACTACATCACTAAGTAATCTCAGAGAGATTAGAGGAAATCATGTTTTTGTGTAAATGCTTATTTAAATATCTTGTCTTTTCTCAGAATTCATTTGGAGATGGCATCAAGTAAATAAATTTACTGAGGTTGCTTTTTCATCTCCTATTTGGAACTGAACATCTTATCAAGCAGATGCAGACAGGACCAAAATGCCCCTGAAAACTTAGATGGACAGTGCTTTGATTGCCTCCTACTAGCACAGAAATCTTGCATGGGAAAGAACTTCTGCAGTATTGCCTTTTCTTAAGGCAAAATAATTCTCTGCAGTTACCTCTCATGCCAAAAAGAGCAGTCACAAAACCACATCTTCCTAGAGACCTTGCACAGCTCAATACTGAACAGCCGAAAGTGAAACTCAGACACCTGCAATCATCTGACATATTCAGACATCACATGGAGAAGAATGAAACATTGCTCCTTTAGGTATATACATTTTCAAAATTACAACAGGAATGAACAGAAGTAGGTCCTGATACGTTACCTAGGTACCAAGGTACAAGCAGGTATTTAGGACACAGACTAAACCAAATGAAGTCTTTGACAAGACTCCCGTGACTTTGAAGGACTCTAGGTCATAACTGACTATTCACAAAGACTCTGCTGGGTTGGCATATTTTCCTGTTCTGATGGGAACACAGTCAGCTCTGTACATACCCCTCATATCCGAACCATCATTACATACGGATCTGAGTGTGCTTCCCCTGAGCTGCTCTCCCCGTGCCCCTCCACAAGAATAATTTGGATGCAAATACCACTAAAGAATATGACAGCAGTGAGCTTTCACCTGACTGGGATGTAACATACATCTCTTCTCTCCAAGAACTATGCTCAGTGGAGATGTAGCATGTGATATACTTACTGAATAAAGTGATAAACTGAACCTCCAGCTTATCTAATATTTATATTACATGGATTCCTAGAGGCCCTCACATGCCATCCACAATTTGTATGTACAGTAAGAAACAGGATGTGTCCACATTGCAAATCCCAGCCTGTAGACAATGAAGCTAGTTAATGCATGATTCTTTTATGGCATACTTTGTTTTTTATGCTGGTGAGGTCTACTGAGTCTCATGACGAATGATGATACTTATTTATGGACATTTCTGTAGTCCTCACCACTGCAGCATATGAACACCTCAAGGTTTAATGGCATCCCAAATTAATGACTACTTCCGAGGAAGCGCATAAATCTGAAACATCGTGCTCTAGTTAAATTATAAATCTGTGTCACCCCTCCTGAGCAGACAACGAAACTTACACCAAGGAAATAAGCTTATATGGCAGAACTCTCTGGATTAAGGATGCACCAGCACGTAAGCACTCGTCCCCCTAAGCTCACCCGCTTTGTACAACTGCAGGAAGGTCCTTCTCCTCAAAAAGCTAACGAGGAACCGCCATCCACGGTTTTGGCTCCGTTCAGGAGAGAGCGTGACCTGCACTTACTGCCATGGGGATGTTCCATGCCATGTACACGTGGGACTTGAAGTCGTCCATCCAGACCTCGGCGGCCCGCAGGGCGTTGCGCTTGGCGTAGTAATCGATGTCGTTGTTGTAGGGCTTCTTCGTGCGCTCGATGTGCGCCACGCGGGAGCAGGGCAGCACCTCCATGCTCCCCCCACACTGCCACACCTGGGAGAGTTGGACAAAAACCCAGCCATGTTATTATTCCTTACTAAGAGATGGGGGTTATCGAATGGTTCAGAAGGATCGCTCAGTTTACCTGTTCCAGGGGTGAAAACCCTCTCTCTGCACAGTGGATGGGTTAGCTACATGAGTCTGGATTTCATAAACACCCACCTTGTTCCCCATAACGTCACTGTTCCTGGAACCACCAAGCAGAAGACAAAGTATAATATGGTAACCTCTGTCATAGAGACAAACTTAACTTAGTGCTTGTACTAACACTTCGGCTCTCCAAATCAAACACCACCCTTTTAAGAGTTCAAATGTGACTGCCAGAAAAATCTGATGCGTGTTTAGTGTACATAAGCATCTCAGATGACCTGTTCCACACCAGAGCCTTTTATGTGGGGATTTGAACATTACCTTTAGGACAAAGAAGGCAACAAATTACCCACATACACAATATGGAGGGTCAGGGAAGCAGCACAGAAACACAGTTATTTTCTCATTATGGAAACTTAGATTTTGACTGTGAGTCAATCAATTATTTTTTTCTTATTCTAGCCCCTGCAGTCTTCACTGGTTTTCAGCACAGCAATTCTCCCTTCACAAACATGCTTTGCCTTACCTCTGTCAGGAAGAAACCAGCACTGACTGACTTATCTGGTCAGTACAGGATGTGCCATGGAAATTTTACCCAAGAATAAGGACATGAGTCTTAGCATAGGATGTCTGGGTGAACCTGGCCACTAACTAAAATGTGTGCTTATTTAGCAGCAGGGGATACTGCCACCCTTGGCAGTGGATGTGAGCACAGCAAAGGTGATTTCCACTCAGTGCTCCTACAACCCCCCATTATCTACCAGCCACCAAGAAGAGGAGACACCTCTGCTGCAACTCTTCTTTATACCTTTACTTGCAGCCCAGTCAGGTAAAGGCAATAAATGACCACTTATCTCTCTACCTCTGAGTAGATGAAGATGGATAAAAGGGGCTGAGTGGAGCCTGGATCACCCAGCCTTCCCACCACCACCCATACTGTGCAGTGTTTTCCTCTTGATTTTTACTGGCTGAACTCTGTGGTGGGAAAAAGAAGAGGACTTGTCTCTGAATTGGTGAGGTTTGGAGTGATGCAGGGGGAGTGAAGCTTGTGTGTTTCAGTTCCCTCAGGTCTAAACCTAGTCCTATAGTCTAGCTGAAGTAATTAAAAGATATTAAAATACAAGCAACAAACCATTGCTTTCCAAGGTTGCCTTTTACTGAACATAAGAGCTTGTGTCTAGACAAGATGCATTTGAAAATAATATTGGGGCAGTTCTCCATCTAACCTGCAACAGACAAAGATAAATTGCTTGGGAAGTGGCAAAAAAAAATCTCTTCCAGTTTGGCTTTTTTTAATACTTTTGTTAGGCAATACTTATTTGCTGCTTTCCCAACCATTCTGTAGTAAATCACTGGCCACTGGAATTTACATCTGATAAATGAAATATACTGAAAACACACTGCTCATAAATTTGGACTGACATATCCTGAGTATATCCAGTGCAAAGGGGAAGTACTAAAAAAAAGGGGGGGGAATTAATAGATTTTCGTGATCGGAAGGATAAATGAACAGTGCACTTTAGTATACTGCTATTTGCCAAACCCATCCTAGGAGTCAGCTATTTAATGCACAGCACATTTTTCTTTCTCTTGATATGGCTAATGACCTTGTAATTTTTATTTATATATTTTGGTAGCAAGGGCAAATACATTATCTGAGTGACAGATTTATTTCCTTCCACTGCCAGTGCTCATGCAAACCTGAAAAGGTACAAACTGCAACATTAAAGGAAACAGTTTAGTTCATCTGTAAATTCAACACAAACAGTTACTTATCAGGGATAAATTCTCCCCAGATGAAATCCACAGGGAGCTCAGACACCTGACTTTGAAGAAAACAACAACAAAAAAGAAAAGCAGCAGCAGCCTCAGGCCAGATAATGCAAGCCTGCCAGCCAGGATCTTCCGTGCTCAGCAGCCAGTGAAACTTGCACTGGGATGCGACCACCCATCTGCAGTCACCCAGATTGCTTTACATCTACATTCAGTCCCTTCATCCCCCTACCCCCAGCCCCATTTTGCTCCTTAAAGAGCCAAAAATCTACTGAAGAGAGGGAAGGAATAAACAGCCAGGCAATATTGCAGGAAATTTTGCTTCCTGTGAAGATGCTCGTTTACTCCAAATGACTTTTTTTTGTTTGGTGGTTTTGTTTTGTTTAGTTTTGTTTTATTTGTTTGTTTTTCTGGGCATACATGACATTTAACACCAGTGGAATATATTTCCCAGGACAAAGGTGGTATTTTCAGTCTCTGAGAACCAGACCTGGATGTACAGCCAGAGGAGGCAGATAGATAGTCCTGTATCACCAGGCATACATCATCACACCACCAGTTCTCCATACCCCAAATACCACATCTGCTCAGCTATGGATTGCTTCCTTTCAGACCGGACAAGGTCTCCTGCTTCACTCCATAAGGATTAACTGCTGTTCCGTGGAGCACAGACATGACTCTGTACCACCACGGCCTTTCAGTGCACTGCTGAGTGCAGAGTGAAGCTCTTGTCCTCTCCCTTTCCACCCAACGATTGCTTAAACTTACACAAAGTGGAAGAGCTTCAGCACAACAAAATATGTGCACCCAAAACCAGACACGATCCCAGTAGTTAAGGGCAGTCATGTGAGACTTAGATAAAGACTCAAGACCTGTGTCTGAATCAAGAGGATAGGGAGGTTTAGCAGCACCTTCTACTCTAACTACAAGAAGTCTCTGAAATACAATGAAAGATGAAAGAATGAGGAAAGTTTTACTGAAACAGATAAGAGAGAGGTCAATGGCTGCCCCTGAAACTGGTTGATTCTCCTCTTTTTGTCCTGAAAACTGTATTTAGAGACCCATTTTAACAGAAGCAAACAACTCATTTCTTTCCACATCTAACTATGAAATTATGCCAGAAAAATAATTCCATACATCCATATAGTATTTATCAAGCCAAGTTCTTAAACTGCCTTACTATGGGAAGCAAACTATTTCTACCAGTGAGCATAAAATGACGTTCAAATCTCTTTAAATTTACATGTTTTAGACAATCAGAGGAAACTAACTTCCATATCCGTGCTTCATCTTCTGGGATAACAACAAATCTCCAATACAAATTATTCCTCTCACACTGTGTTGCCAACATTAAATGTGCTTTTCAAGTTTCATTTACTGAGAATGTGGAAGTGGAACAGTCTCTCTGAGCTGCTGCCTACAAGGGTGCACATCAGCGAGAAGCACACTCAGTCGTCTTCTCCCAATGGAGAGGCAAAAACTTGAGACAACTTTTTGACATCATAGCATGTACTCATCAAAACAATGTTGTGGGGCAGCCCAGGCTCCACTGAAGGTAAGGTAGATACAGGCACAGAAGATGCCCTGGGCTGGGCACAGAGGCAGCTCCAGCTGAGAAGGAGCAGCAGCAGAGAAGCAAACAAGGTTCTGCTTTGTGTGCTCCTCAACTCAGTGCAGCTGCTACAGCCCAGGGACTTGGCTTTACCTCCACGAGCATCACACCGTTCAGCGTTTGAAGACATGATCAAGTAATTCCAAGAGACACTCAATTTATTTGCTAATTGTAGTTAATTTCTAATTTCAGTATTGCTCTTTAGGCTGCTATAAACAAAATTGATAGCAATATAAATGTTACCATAGCCGTGTTACCTTAGCATTTTTACTGCTAATTATTGCAATCAACTTTTCTATAAACAGACATATTAAATATTAAGAAGAACAAGTACCCACATCAGGGGTAAATTACAAACTGAATGATAATGTTTGTAGTTTGCACTGCAATGACTTACTGCCACTAATTATTAGCTCTTCCTATATGCCTGAGTGATGGCTGTCCTGCAGAAAAGGGTTTGCCATTTTTTATACAGTAGTCAATCAGAGTTCATGTTCTATGCATCAAAGAGAAACTGAGATGAGACAGTGTCTTGTCTACCATGACCTAACTGTACATCACCAGCGTTCTCTGAATGCAGGTCGAGTACCATGATTTAGAAAGGTAATAAATTGCTGTGCTTTAACTCTTACCAAACAAGAATTTTTCTGAGGAAATATATTTTCCCACAAAACCTGTTGCTGAAGGTATTTAAATAGGATTTAAAGAAAAAGAACATTTTCCTATAAAAGATCCAAAACAGGTGTTAAAACAATTGTCTTTTTTGGGGGATGAAATAATGAAATACTGTTTCAAAAAGAAAAAAAATAACACTTCTGCCCAAAATCCAGGTGTTTTGGAAATGAGGAAAGGAGATAAAGCAAAGTGAAGTGTAATACGACATCAAAGCAATCGGTCCTTTTCTTCTCTTAAAAAAAAAAATAGTAATTAAAACAATATTCATTTAAAATATAAAAAAAGTCAAACAACAATCCTGGTCACTGTTGCTGCAGGATATAGAGCTGGCTGGACTGCTGGGCTAAGCAATTCCTAAGTCATGGCAATATATATAGAGAGAACATTGCTGACACAGGCTCCAGCTCTGCAGGTGAGACCTAATCCCAATAGTGTCATACCCTGCTGAGTGAATGTCAGAGCTCAGACACGTCATGGGACTTAATACACAGGGCAGCTGCAGCTCCCAAGGTGTTCACACTGGTCACAGGGAGGACTCTTCACTCCCCAGGGACTCAGTGCTCTGTAATTTGTAAAACACCCCACGTTTCCTTCAGCCATTCTGTTTTTTGGGAATACACATGGACTGACTAATGAGTGAAATGATTCTTGCCAAAAATGGCAAAAAAATGCTCGTATTTTGTAGCCATTCTTATGCCTGCTTTTGGGAGTGTCAGCAGAGGGAGGTGCCTGCAGTCTGCAGGAAACTAATACTGGAGATCATTCATCATTTCAGTCAAAAAATCCAAACAGCTTCACAAATTAATGTATGACATTATTTTGTACACTAAGCTGATTGCACAGG